ATATTGATTTAAATTACATAATGCATTACCTAAATAAGAATATTTAACTATGTATTACCCTTATAATACCATGCATCAACTAATTAAGGATTGATAATTAATGCTTCCTTGTAAGATTCAATTGCTTCTTGATATTATTTCAAATTTGCTAATGCATTACCTTAATATTTTATTTAACTATTAATTACCCTTGCTATACCATGCATCAAAATTTTTAGGATTAATAGATATCGCTTTATCGTAACAATTAATAGCTTCTTGATATTATTTCAAAACTACTAATTTATTACCTAAATATCAATATTGAACAATAGATTACTCTTGCTAATCCATGCAGCATCATATTTAAGGTTAATACAAATAGCAGCTTCAAAACATTATATTGCTTCTTTATATTAATGCAAATTGGCTAATGGTGTTCCTAATTATTATATTTAACATTTTAAATTTATTGATCAAATTAATAAAATTCACTAAAGCAATTTAATTCCTTGAATTTCAAAACACAATATTTTAAAGTCTTGTATTACTTATTGTATTTTGTTGCATGTGGCTTTTTAGTATGAAATAATGCATGCAATATTCCAAAAAAAACTTGTATCTATTAATGTAGAATTTAATTTAAACAAGCAGATCTTTAAAAGAAGTGTCGTCTGGATCATTATTATTATTTCTTCTATCTTCAGATTCTTCATAATCGCAAACCCAAATATAAAGGGTTTAATTTTCTATGTTATATATTCTACATTTTAATATTTTAACATTAGAATAATCCGAGTTTAGTGCATTATACAATTCATTTATTCATGCTTAAATACAGACTTTATCAGAGTATTAATAATTATCTCTAATGATCTCCTACTAGTTGGAACAATATTTATAATTTTTTTGTAAAATTTAAATGCTTAATAAATTAAATTGTTAGAAAAAATTTAATAAAAAATTCATAAAAATTTTACTTTGTTGACAGACTTTTTATCAAAAAAATAAATGAATGAGTACTATTGCAATAGTACAAAAAGAATGGTGATGGGCAAATAAAAATAATTTATAGTAATGAAAAAGAATATAGTAATTATGATTGATATTTTTCAATATTCTTAGCTTTGCTCTGGAATATTTAAGTTATATTTTTGGTGTTCCAGTTTATCAAACCTTTTTCCAATCCTAATAATTTTCCTTTAAATTTTTAAAAAGTGATTTCTTTTCCTAAACAATTTAATAATTACGTACTTATTGAAAATGCTTGTTCTCTTTTTAAAAGAAAGATCATTCTAAAAGAAAAATACAAAACTTATTTTGATCATTTGAAAAAGTTTTCATGTTATTCTGGGTCTCTTAAATTCATTTAATTTCAAATATTTGTTTATATTGTATTTCAAAATTCAATCCTGATTTGATTTCTTAATACCTTAATCTACATTAACGAAAATCCTTATTTTGAATTTAGCGAACTTAATAAAAAAAGCCTTGAAGCAAAAATAAAAAGTAAATTATAAAATGTATTCATGTTTAAGTTTTAATGATTGGAAAAACAATACATATTTGAATTTTAAGTCTGTAAACGTAGAATAATTTTAAATATTTACCTTAAAATTGGGTTTGGGTTTGGGGTTGGGTTTGGGGTTGGGTTTGGGTTTGGGT